ATCATGGACTGAAATTTTGTTGTTACTTGCTGGTCCATTTGGCAGTGGAGGAATGCTTCCATCCATGAGGTTCTGTTTGTTAGACCTCAAGATCCAGTTTATAGGATACTTTGCTATTTCAAGGAGATGAAGATGAACAAAAGAGGGGAACCTGCTGCTGTTGATTGTAATCATTCCGTAATTCTGAGTGGGACTGGGCAGCATGCTTATAATAGCAAGGTGAAAATTTACGTAGATGGGGTTGTTTGCCTAGCTAATCAGAAAAGTGCTTGTGGTGGTTTTGCCTGCTCAACTAGTGGTGACTGGCTTCGAGGTTTGTCCTACACTATAGGAAGATCTTCTCCTTTGGAAGCTGAGCTAATAGGCATTCTTCATGGTCTGAAGCTAGCAGCAGATTTAAAGGTATCCAATGTTTGGATGGGAAGTAATTGCCAAGAAGCAATATCGTGCCTTAGGGAGGAATCTGAAGCGTACAGGTTATCTTCCTTGTTAGGTGAAATCAGGAAAAGTGCTGCTGCTCTTAAGCATGTCCAGGTTGATTTTTTATATAGAGATTGTAATGGTGTAGCTGATCTTTTAGCCAAGTCAGGTTTGTATTACAGGGATGATGAGGTAAGGATGTTTGCTTCACCTCCTGGTAGTATAGTGGATGTGTGGAATACTTTCAGTGTGAACTTGATGTTAGAGCATGTGAACTCTAACATGCATAATCTGTCTTTGTAGTTGTGCTGGGCTAGACCCTCCATTTATACCAAAAAAAAAAAGACACTTATTAGAAAAAGGAAAAAATAAAAAATAGGCCATATATGCTGGACTACAGGATTTTCAATGATATTTATTTAGCGTGAAACCAAATTATTACATAATTAGGATTTGAATCGGGTCTCACTTATCTGTCAGTTGCTTGTCCATGATTAGGGTCGGCAAATATGAGCAAATCCGTAGGGATGACTCCCAATCCGTCAAAAATGAGTTAAGTTGGGTTGGCAAAAATGAGCTGCCAACCTGACTCGAGCCAGCTCGAGAAAAAATGAGCCAACCCGCTGGTTAAACGAGCTAGCTCGCGAGTTGATTTTTTTATATAAAAAATACAAAATATAATATACAAAAGTGGACAAAATCCACACATGTCATTGCCTTTCTTCCTTCTCTAAACCTAAGTCCCTAATCTTCTCACATCCCTGCCATTTTTATATTGTTAGGATGTGCTGGCTCTGTTTGGTTCAAATATCTTATCCACTTGGTTGCAAGTGATTTTGATTATTTTTTGATGTTGGTGCAAATTTGTTGTGAAGAAAATTCGTAACTAGAATATTTTGCTTTTATTTCTCATTTTATAACCCTTTGTTTAAGTTTATGTAAGCCACATAACTAATGTATTAATACTACAGGCTCATTTAAATAGGCTGAAAACGAGCTAACCCGCGAGGCAATTTTCGAGCTAACTCGCGCGCTATTTTTTCAAACCAAACCATGAGCTGTATTTTTGAGCCAACCCTAACACGACTCGGATCGAGTTGAGTTTTCTAGCTCATTTTTTTTCGAGCCAACTCTAACTCAACTCGTTTTTTTCGGGTTGCGGGTTGGGCTGGGTCGAGCCGAGTTGCCCACCCTATCCATGATATATATACTTATTAAGATGCGGACTACTTCTACCTGGACAGAAAGACCCTATGAAGCTTCACTATTCACTTGGATTGGCTTTGGGCTTTTCCTGCGCAGCTTAGGTGCAGGGCGAAGAAGAGCTAGAATTCTAACCTTGTGCCAGGATCTATGGGCCAAGGGACAGTCTCAGGTAAACAGTTTCTATGGGTGTAGGCCTCCCAAAAAGTAACGGAGGTGTGCAAAGGTTTCCTTGGGTCAGACGAAGATTGGCCCTCGAGTGCAAAGGTAGAAGGGAGCTTGACTGTAAGACCCACCCGTCGAGCAGGCACGAAAGTCGGCCTCAGTGATCTGACGATACCGAGTGGAAGGGCCGTCTCTCAACGGATAAAAGTTACTTTAGGGATAACATGCTGATCTTCCCCAAGAGCTCACATCGACAGGAAGGTTTGGCACCTCGATGTCGGCTCTTCGCCACCTGCGGCTGTAGTATGTTCCAAGGGTTAGGCTGCTCGCCCATTAAGGCGGTACGTAAGCTGGGTTCAGAACATCGTGAGACAATTCGGTCCATATCCGGTGTGGGCATTAGAGCATTGAAAGGACCTTTCCCTAGTACGAGAGGACCGGGAAAGACACACCTCTGGTGTGCCAGTTATCGTGCCCACGATGTACATGATGATGAAGGGATTTCTCACTACATTACATCGAGGAAGAAGGGTAAGCTTCATTTGGAGTTAGGTCAGATTGGGAAAAACATGTTCTAGAGCGTGGGGCCCCGATGTACAGGATGATGTTTTCTAAATCATATGATGATATCAGTGAAGTTCCAGTTGCAAATAATGTAATTCTGAAAGCTGGCTAGTCCATTAAACCTCCAAAGTGTTACTGTTTTTGCAGAATCTATCACACAACCAATGGTTTCTCCATGCATGGCTCATGGTTTAGGTAATATGAGCATTACACAATACAGATATCTTTATGAAAACTATCTTTTATGGTATTGATCAATTAATTCATCTGAAGTATTCATCCTGCTAGCATTGTAGGGTTGGACATCCTTACAATTTGGGGGATGGAGTGCAGAGCTGTTGTTGATGTGCAGAGCCAAAAATATTCAATAAGTGATTCCAAAGTCATTGTGCATGCAAATGTGCATATGATTCCTAATGTTCTAAGATATCCCCTCCAAGAATGCATGTAGAAGCCAACCAATGAAATTAAAGTTGTAGGTCAGAGAGATGTCCGAAGTTAATGTTGTGTATATTTGCAATGAAATTATATAAGGCCTAGAAAATCATAATTTTTATATGAAGTGTAAATTTGTGATTTCTTTTACAATTAAAATTACATATCTTTTGTTTCGTTGTCTTTTTAAGCTAGAGGTGTGCGACTCGTCTAAGCTCATCAAAGTTCCTAGTTGCGATGTATGTAAAACACCGAAACAGAAAATGAGACTTATAACTCACTAGACCCAATAATGCATCCTATCATATAAAATACCATTCATTTTAATCTTAACAAATGTTAAATTAACATGTAAATATGTTGACTCAACAGTAAACTTTTTTATGATCTGTAATATAAATTACAAATATATCAAAATCCATCGAATGCAAAAATGTAAAGTGGGATTAAAAGGGTATATCAATGCTGATTTGTTAAATATGATGGGAATAATTTAGATATGCAAAAGTTATGATAAAATATAATGCTTAAACTAATCTATATGCACAGATGATTGCACGTAGTGGTAAAAGTGGGCTGGGCTGGGCCGAGCTTTTCTCCAAAAAGTTCAAGCTTGTGTCAAAAAATTTCAATTTGGCCGGGCCTGAGCCTAGTACGAGTCTAACTGTTAGTCTGCCTTGACCCGTTTATAAAAAAATAAATAGCCTGACTTGACCCGTTAGCCTGTTAATTTTTAACTTTCAAACAGAACCATGAATCATCTTCACAAAATACACAAATTTTGTTGCTAAAACAAAAATCACAATTTCAACGTTCAAACAGAACCATGAATCATAACAAAACTCAATACAATATGTTTTTAAGTCACTTTCAAAGTAAAATGTTCAAACTAAATCACATATATTTTATCATATCCAACAAACAAATCTATACTATATAAATTAAAATAAGTACATAAATCCAACAAACACATTATGATGATTGTAGTAGCCAAAAACTTCTCTTCATCTTCTCTCCCCTATAAATACAATTCCAAGATTACATAAGTTGGCAAAAAATTTGTAAATGTAGAAAACAAAAAAACAAGAATAAAGAATAGAAACAAAAAAAATAAGATTAAGAAACAAAAAAATATTTTAATAGATTCATATAGGCAATCTCACATACTGAGATGTTGGTTCTTCCTATATAAAAAATATAGCCAAATTTCTATTAAAATTTAATCGAATATAATTAAATGTAAACTAATTTCAATTGATTAAATTTATACCTTTTGTTTTTTCTTCAAGTCATACCTATGACGTAGAGCCTAGTCTATCCACTGCAGTTGAAACATATTTTCTCACAAGAAGAAGTTGATGATATACCTCCACAAGAAGAAGTAGGTATCATACGGCTCCCTCTTCCTAAACACCTGACCAATTGTCCGAGGATATCCCTCAGGTAAGAAACCATCACTTACCTAATGATTCTAATGTACCTCTGAGTTGTAAATTGCCTGACAGGATTAATAGAGGGAAGCCCCCTAATAGATATTCTCTGGATGCTGAAGAGAAAAAAATGAGATACCCCACTGCAAATTATGTGTGTACTAAGAAGCTGTCTGACTCCTTGAAGAGGTTTGTTATGAATGTATCTTCTATTCATGCTCCATGTGGGGTACACGAAGCAATGGAGGATCGAAAGTGGGTAAATGCTATGGAAGAAGAAATGGAGGTCTTGCAGGAAAATAAAACATGGAGGCTAGTACCACTTCCTAATGGGAAGAAAACTGTGGGGTGCAAATGGGTCTTCTCTGTGAAGTACAAACCATATGGGTCTATCGAAAGGTACAAGGCCAGGCTAGTAGCAAAAGGATATACTCAAACATATGGGATATACTACCAAGAAATCTTCTCCCCAGTTGCAAGACTGAATACAATCCGAGTCTTGTTATCACTCGCTGCCAACTTAGATTGGCCATTACAACAATTTGATGTGAAAAATGCCTTTTTGCATGGTGATTTGGAAGAGAAAATTTATATGGATATCCCACCAGGGTATTGTTCTCAGCCCAATCCTAAGAAGGTATATAAATTAGAGCGTTCTTTATACGGTCTAAAACAGTCACCAAGGGCTTGGTTTGGCCGATTTAGTGCTGCAATGAAAAAGTATGGCTATTTGCATTGTAAGTCTGACCATACGCTATTTCTTCGATAACAGAAAGGTAGGTAATGGCTCTAGTAATTTATGTTGATGATATGATTATTACTGGAAACGATTTAGAGGAAATTGCTTTACTTCAAGAAAGATTGTCTATAGAGTTTGAGATGAAAAAATTGGGAGAGTTAAAATACTTCTTGGGTATAGAGGTTGCACGATCAAAGAAGGAAACTTTTCTATTTCAAAAAAAAAATATGTTTTAGATTTGCTTGCTGAAGTGGGGATGTTAGATTGTAAGCCAGTAGATACCCCTATTGTTCAGAATCACAGGTTAGCCGACTACCCTGATCAAGTGCAACCAAACAAGGAGAGGTACCAAAGATTGGTTGGTAAGTTGACCTATTTATCACATACACGACCTGATCTTGCTTATACAGTCAGTGTCATTAGTCAGTTCAAGCATGCTCCTAGTGAAGATCATATGAATGCAGTTGAAAGAATCCTTCGTTATTTGAAAGGCGCTCCTGGACGAGAACTTTGGTTTCGAAAGGGACCAAATTTGGAGATTGTTGGATATACTGATGCTGATTGGGTTGGTAGCTTGCAGGATAGGAGGTCAACTTCCGGATACTTCACATTTCTGGGGATAAATTTAGTAACCTGGAGAAGTAAGAAGCAAAAGATGGGGGAATTATCTAGTGCTGAGGCAGAATTCAGGGGAATGGCAAAAGGCTTATGTGAATTGTTGTGGTTGAAGAAATTGATGTGTGAGTTGTGGTATCCCTCAAAGATCGAAATGAAGCTTTTTTGTGACAATAAAGCCGCAATTGATATATCTCATAATCCAGTTCAACATAACAGAACTAAACATATTAAGATTAATTGACATTTTATCAAGCACAATTTGGATACAAAGGTCATTAAGTTCCCATTTGTAAAATTCGAGGATCAATTGGCTGACATATTGACAAAGGCGGTTTCAAGTAAAGTGTTTCATAGCTCACTTGACAAGTTGGGCATTAGTGACATCTATGTACCAACTTGAGGGAGAGTGTTGGCGTGAGCAATATTTATAGAATATTATTTGTAAATATTTAAGATTATGATTGTGATTAAAAAATCATTAATTGATTTTATTGTAATTAGAAAACTAAGGAGTAATTTTAGGGAGTGATTTTAGGTCAATCAATTATTTGATTTAGACCAATTTCTTAGGCTGTAGATTATGACTTGCTCTCTATATATACATTGTATATTCATACCAGAAAATATAGTGAAAAATAAGTTCTCTTCCAACCTTCATATTCTTATTTTCTACAACAACATGGAACTCTCATACCCTTGAAGTTGCATACACTGTATTAGGATGGACTGCTTTTGTTGTTTGGTCCTCCAGTTTCTGCCCTCAAGTTTTCTTAAACTTCTTCAGGAAAAGGTATTCACTTTTTTCATTATTTCCTTCACTTCACACCACTCTCTTCTGTTATGTTATGTTTTTTTTTAACCCCAAACTTTAAGTTCCACCATTAAAAATTGAATTTTAGTGTGGTTGGTTTGAATTTCAACTATTTGCTATTGAACAACACAAAGCACACCTTGTACCTCATCTACAACACCTCGTGGCTTCAGTATCATGAAAAATATGGCTTTGACCAGGTATTTATTTTCATTTCACTTCTTTTTCTCACTTTTTTTTTTTCTTGTGTATTTTCTATTTAATTTGTCTCTGATTTTTCCACCTTTCTGTTAAATGTTATCATAGATCAAGCGTTGAATGCAAAGTAATCAATTAACTGAGGATGTTGAGATGTTACAATGAAGAAAACAAATAAAATAATTGTTGTGATGTAACTTAGGATATTTGCCTATTTGGTATCTGCTGGTCCCAAAATAGGTCATTTCATGCAATGTTGATTCTTAATTTCTTACCTGTAAGGTCATTTCATGCAATGTTGAGTCTTAATTTCTCACATTTAATTGATGGAAAAAATGGAAATGGATAGATATGGTTACGACCGACATCATAAAGAATTAAAATTAGGAAAAACCTTTTAAATTTATTTTATTTTAAAATGAGTAGGTAAAAATATGCAATATTTTTTAAAACTTTAGTGATTTAAAATTAGGAAATACTTAAACTAAATTAATGAGAGATTCATTGTTATTCATTTTAGGGATAAATTTATGGGTCTCTTATTTCTAATACAACATGAGATTTTTTTCTCCTATTATAGACATAAAAAGTGGTTGGCCCTCCACCCATTAAAAAAAATAAAAATAAAAATTGTTGCAATCAATTCGATGTCTCACTAGTAAGAAAAAAAAATCTCCTACAATATAATAATTCTTTTCCCCTAAATTTATTTTAGGGTTTTATATTTGTCATGTTATATGACTTAAAAAAATGTTCCTACACACATTCAAGATAAGAGAGAAAGTGAAATGATGAAAGAGAAAAAAAAATGTGGACCTTACCTCTGTGTAGGAACATCTTTTTCTTTCTTTGGATAAATCACATGTATCTTCCACAGGAAGCAATTCTATTCGGGGCGAATTCAGGATAAAGGTTTTAAACCTCTTCCAAAGATAGTACCGGGAAGGATCAAACACATGCTCCCAACTCACCGAATCAGCTCCTATGCGCCAACTGAGCTACTATTATTTGATTATGAACATCTTTTTAGGTAATGTAACATGAAAAATATATAACTCTTTATTTTATAGGTATTATATTTTTAAAATTTATTTGGTTTTCTTAATTATAAAAAATGAATTTGATACATGATCCTTTGGTCCACCATCCACAAGCCCATCTTGACATGACATGGGCCCACTCCTTTCCCCAGACCATAAATACTTTCTCTTGCATATTCTTAAGAGCCATGCCCAAAAATCTGTTTTCGTTAATAATTATAAATATGTCATGTAATTTTTATTTTGTTTCTTGTCTTCAAAAATTTAAAAAAACATGGCGAAAACAATAGATATAGAATTTAGTTTTTACATGTTGATGGTGTAAAAAGTGCAATGCTATGCTAAATGAGTTCTTTAAAAAAACAAACAATGAGTTTAATGTTTCTCCTCGTAGCATTAATGAGTTTAATATTTCTTTGCGAAGTATTATCTTTTGCGCACACATGGGAGTAGATAAGGCCTGTGAGAGAGGAAAGAAAAAGAGAAAAATGGATTCCACCTATTTTCACGTGAGTGAGCTCAGAACTATGGGTGTACAAAATGTCCAAAAGAATCAAACCGATTCATAACTAAACTGCTCCACATTTTAAAAATCAGTTATTTTTAAAAACCAGTTTCATATGAAACTACATTTTATTTTATAAATTGGTTATTTACCAAACCATAAAAATAATTGGTTATCCATGGTTATCCATAACCAAACTATTTTACAATTAAAGAATAAATAAGTATTATCTTTTATCCTTAGCGTTAAAATATGAAAATTACATAAATATGAATCATTTTTAAATGTGACATTATTAGAAAAGTCTCAAATACTAAAAGAATTTATCGAAGAAAAATATTTAGTCGAAAATTTTGACAAAAATCATATTACGTAGAAAATAGAGACGAAATTTTTTCTCGTCGAAACTAGAGACGGGATAAGATTTTGCCATAATTACTGACATAAATTTTTTAGAGACAAAATATTTCAGTCAAAATTTTTGATAGAATCTAAATTTCTTCGAAACTTTCGACAGAAACAATTAGGTCAAACATTTCAACGAAAAATAATTCTGTAAATTTTTTTGAAGACACACATTTCCATAAAAAAATTGATAGAAAATAATTTCGTCAATTTTTTTTACGAAAAATATTTCCGTCCAAATTTTCAACGAAAAAATATTTCCAGTAAAATTTTCAACAAAACACATTTAGAACGAAAATTTTGACGAAAAATATTTTAGAATTTTTTTGACGGAAAATATTTCTATAAAAAATTCTGACGGAAATTTTTTTTGTCAAAGTTCTTTTCGGAATCTAAATTCCCTCCAATCATTTCCCTCAATTTTTTTAACGAAAAATATTTTTATAATTTTTGTCAAAAAATTTATCTTAATATTGTTCCTCAAAATATTTTACGAAAATTTTTCATAGAAATGTGTTCCGTTGAAAATTTTGATGGAAATGTTTTTTATCAAATAAATTGACGGAAATATTTTTCGTTGAAGATTTTCGAGGGAAATGTGGTTCTTTAAAAATTTTGACGGAATTTTTTTGTCAAAAAGTTTAACGAAAATGTTTCCGTCAAAAACTTTCGACGAAATTTGAATTCTGTAAAGAATTTTGATTAATATTGATATAAATGTTTTTCGTCAAAAAATTTGAAGGAAATGTGTTTCGTGGAAAATTTTGATAGAAATATTTTTCGTCAAAAAATTCAATGAATATGTTTTTTTGTGAAATATTTTGACGAAATTTATATTTTGTAAAAAAATTCGACAAAAAAAAATTTCTGTCAATTTTTTTTACAGATATGTTTTTAGTCACAAATTTTGATTCAAATATTTTTCGTCAAAAATTTTTGCAAAATTTTTTGTTGGAAATGTTTTCCATAAAAAGAACGTGAAACAATTTCTATAAGAATCATTTCATCCTGAGAGTTCCAGAACAATGAAGATTCTTGCAAGAAATAGTTGGTCAACTATCTATAACCGGGAGAAACAAACGATTACTTATAAAAATAGCACAATCCATCAAAAATCGATTTTGAATTTGTTAAAAAATCGGTTTTGAACTTGATAACCGGTTTATGGTTCATAACCGATTTTGATTTAAAACCGGTTTTGAATTAAAACCGGTTTAAAACCGGTTTTGAATTAAAACCGGTTTAAAACCGGTTTTGAATTAAAACCGGTTTTAAATCAAAATCGGTTATGAACCATAAACCAGTTTTGGAACCGGTTGTAAACCGGTTTGGACAATTAAAAATCGATTTTTTTTTAAAAAAAAGTGTTTCGGTTTAAAATTCAAACTGTTTAAAACTGGTTCGGTTCAATTTTTGACAATAACCGAACCGAACCACTCCATGCACACCACTACTCAGAACCTTCTGTTTGCATGAGAAATACTAATCCCACACTAAATTATGCATTATCATATCATTATATGATTTAGTAATTATATAAAACATTTCTCCTAACAATGGATTAAATTAAAAGGAAATAGAATTATAATGTTGTAGAAAAGTTGTTAGGTTATGTTATAGAGATAGAGATTGTAAGACCCGCACTTTTTTGTTTTTTGTTTTCTGAAAATAAGTGTGGGTCCCACAATCTCTATCTCTATAACATAACATAACAACTTTTATATTATATTATACTTATTTTTCCCTAAATTAAAATAAAGACTGAGCCTCAAATAATGGTAAAATTGTTTTTTATATCCGAAAGGTCACGAGTTTGAATGGATTGCTCTCACTTGTAACATCCCAAGAGCTGGCAAGGGCAGGGAGTGATCGCCGATGCGAAAGGGCACGAACAATGAGCGGCTCATGCCAAATCTTTCAGCTTGGGGGTTCATGAATGAATTGAATCAACACCCGAAAGAGAGGGATTCCAAAGACTGTGCTGGTATGAGACGGTACAGTTAGGAATGACTTATAAGAATTAATTGGTACTACCTATACTAACAAGATGCATCTACTTTTCGGTAGTCCGGATCGGAAGGACTCCACAGTTAAGCGTGCTTGACTTGGAGCAATTCTGGGATGGGTGACCTCCTGGGAAGTTTTCCCGGGAAGTGTGCGAGTGAGGACAAAGCACACTGAAAAGTCTCGTGTTAGTGTGTGGGGACAGTCATTGATTCTTGCAAGTGGTCGGGCGTTACAAGTGTATAACACTCTTGGGTCTCTCCCAATCCAGCACAGCTTCAATTTTACTCGGATCAACAGCCACTCCTGTAGATTATATGACGTGTCCAAGAAACTGGATCTCGTGTAACCAAAACTCACACTTTGATGGTTTGGCATATAACTGATGCTCCCTTAAAATCTGTAGAACTATCTTCAAATGCTCTGCATGTTCTTCCTTACTTTTGGAGTAGATCAGAATATCATCAATGAATACCACAACAAACTGATCTAAATGTGGTTTGAAAATCCGGTTCATATAACTCATGAACACGGTTGGGGCATTAGTAAGCCCAAATGGGATCACTAGATACTCGTAGTGCCCATATCTAGATCGGAAAGTCGTCTTCGGAATATCCTCTGCTTTTACCCGAATCTGGTGATATCCGGAACGAAGATCAATCTTTGAGAACACTGAAGCACCCCTGAGCTGATCCAACAGATCATCAATGCGTGGTAGAGGATACTTGTTCTTTACTGTTACCTTGTTTAACTGTCGATAATCAGTGCACAACCTCATAGTCCCATCTTTCTTCTTCACGAAGATGACTGGTGCACCCCAAGGAGATACACTCGGTCTGATAAAGTTCTTGCGGGACAATTCTTCTAACTGCTTCTTCAGCTCAGCTAGCTCCACTGGTGACATCCGGTATGGAGCCAATGAGATAGGCCCCACACCAGGTACTACGTCAATTGAGAATTCAATCTCCCTCTCAGGTGGAAAATGAGGAATTTCTTCCGGAAATACATCTTCAAACTCGCATACAACCGCAATATTAGCAGTAGGTTCTTTGGAGTCTCCTACGAGTCCTCCCAGGATAATGTATCCTGCATCTCTCTCATTTAGAGCCTTATTTAATTTTTATGCCGTCAAGTACAAACTGTCCGATTTTTCTCCTTTTGCAGCAAAGAAAACCCTTCTCCTACAACAATCTAGCATCACACCATATCGGACCAGCCAATCCATACCTACGATAATGTGTAGATTCATGCCCTCAAGCACTATTAAATCCACCATATACTCTTCTTGCTCATATATGAATCTGACTTCTTTGCACTTCAAGGAAGTAGAAACAATGTCTCCGGTGGCAGTCTTCACTACCATGGGAGGCGTGAACTCACAAATGGGTAAATGTACCCCATTAGCAACAAATTCTGATATGAAGGAGTGGGTAGCACCAGAATCAAACATGGCATCAAAAGTATATCCTCTGATAAGAATAGTACCTCTGATAAGGTTTGGAGACCTCTCTGCCTCATGCTGTGTCATTGCATATACCCTGGCACTAGTGGGCGCCATAGGCTCCTCTATGGATCTTTGAGTAGGCACAGACTGAATAGGGATCGCCTGAATGGCTGCAACTTGCCCCGTCTTCTTGGGGCATTCTCTGGAATAATGTTCTGCCTGACCACAACTGAAGCAAACATTCTGCCCCAGTCGACAAACACCTGTATGCATCTTCCCACACTTGGCACAAGTGGGAATCTTCCATGCACTAGACATTCCGCTTCCATTCTTCACAAAGGGAGTCTTCTTAAACTTGGTGTTCTGCTGTGCTTGCAAACCCTTGCCCTTACCCTTCCAGGGCGTAGTCTTCCCACTGAAGCTCTTTCCTGTTGCTTCCTTTCCCCTGGTACGATAGTGCTCCTGAATATTCTGGCACTGCTTGATCAACTCCACAAAATTTCTGGTGCAATGACCCGCCAGTTTGTCTGCTATCATATCATTCAGACCCTTCCTAAATCGAAAGGCCTTGTCTTCTGGAGTGAGGGGAGTTCTACCATAACAAGAATATTTTGCCAAGCGGTTGAACTTGCTCAGATATTCATCCACAGTCATGCCTCCCTGCCGGAGGTCTTCAAACTCACTCTTCTTCCTTTCCATGGCTTCTTCAGGGAAGTACTTTTGCAGAAAATGTCTCTCAAATAACGGCCAAGTAATAGCATAACCTTGGCACTCAAGTGGGTTTCTAACATTACTCCACCAGTCAGCAGCATCCCCCTGTAACATGTACACCACATATAGGAGCTTCGTGTTGGTATCGCATTCCATAACCTGAAAAATACAATCCATCTCTTGGAGCCACTCCAATGCTGCAATGGGATCTCTTCCACCTTTGTAGTGAGGTGGGGAATGCTTCCTGAAAGCATTCAGCATACGCTCTCTAGTATCTCGGTCAAACCTGGGTTGTATAGCTGATCTATCAACCTCAATAACTGGCTGCCTCACTAGTCTTTCATGGACAGATGCCTCCGCCTCCTAATGGGCCTCTCCTAACCCTTCCTGTCCCAGCACAACAGGCTCGAGAATCTGTACGGGACCAGCAGCACGTGCAACCTGCTGCTGCACATGTGGTGTAACTGGCGGTGGAGGAGGTGGTGGAGGTCCTCCACGTACCTCTGTCAACAGTAGTCGGATCATCTCAGCATTGGCCAGCCTATTCTGCACCATAAGGTCTTCACTGGCCTTTCTCAGCTGCTCTCTATTGCGATCTCTGGCCTCTTCGATTCTTTTCAAATCAGCTTCCCTGGTTTCATTCAGGGTCTGCTGCAATGTTGCTATAGCTGCAACAATAGGATCAGGAGGAGGGTTTTGAACTATTCGCCTGGGTCTCCCTCGAGGTGCCATGTCACTACACAAAACTGCACGAGGTATGAGTTAGCTACGCTCAATCAAGTGATAGCATATGCAATATCATGACACTCAAGAGACACTCAATAAAAAGTTCTAACACTTAAGCAATACATCAGTGAACGTCCCGGTGAAACTGCTCTGATACCATAAATGTAACACCCCGTAGTACTCCGATTGTTAACATACATGATATTTAACATTCACAGCGGAAGACTATATTTGAAAAGGAAAAAAAGCGTCTTATAAAAATACGAGTAAACTTTTTCCAAAACAGTTTATAAAAATATTTCTAAAAACGTTCACGTGAGATACTGCGAAAGCGTAAATCTAAACCTACATCTACTAATTAATCCTATGAGCCAGTATTAGTGGCCATTGACCATCAAGATATGACATCAAGTGTCATTCCTGACGGAGTCTCACGGACAGCATAACGGTTGTATTTCGGATAACTGGGAACATGGTTCCCACACATACATTTAACCTGATAAATATGATAATTTAAACAGACAGCTTGCAAGTTCACCCGGACTGCAATCCCCTCAATGGGTCAATACAAACAAGAAGACTACATGCCCAAATTAACTGAATACATGCATTAAGTCTATATTAATTCAAAGTATAAAAACATCAGTAATTAATCTATGGCTCTAAGGATACAATCATGAGCCTAAATAAATACATAACATAATCTCCATATATAATTAAGCATGTTAACAAATCCATATATCATCATAAGTCTAAACATAGTCTAAAATAATCAGCTGCATCATCTCTACTCCAATGCGGGGGCCTTGCCCCTATAAGCATCACCACTACTCTGGGTATCTGAAATGATGTCCCCAAACAGGGTAAGATACAACATCTCAGTAAGCTCAAGGTTCATAGAGGACCCTCTAACCCCTGATCCCACTTCCTGCATAACAAGTCAGATATAAAGCATATAATACAGACATACAGCATAAACATAGCATCATCATATCATCCTTGTGTAACCCCAGGGTCAAAGCCATAGACGGTTACACATGTGTGACTTCCAGGGTCAAGCCATAGACAGTCAACACAACCTCAGTATGAAATAGCTCCCAGAGTCAAGTCATAGGCAGCCTACATACCATGATCACTGGCCAGGATCCTCATAACATATATCATTAGTGCATCATCATAACATCAAGATCATATAACATCTATATGAATGTGAATGAATGCATATATACATCATACCATATACTTTCATACAATATAACCATAATTCCCACCATCATGGTGGGGCCACAGAGAAGAGTCAACTAGAACTAGGAGCTTACCTCACTGAGCTTATCAACAGCCCAACTCCAACAGTCCAATACGTATGCTCCAGTACACTCTCAAGTGCCAAGCTCTCTAGGAAAACCTAGAGCAGGAACCATTCACATCATTAATTACATATTAATTAATCAAGTCATATCCACGACTTAATCATTTAATGATTCCACTTTTCATACTCATATGCCAATAATATGCCCATAACAAGTCTAGACTAATTATTACTTATTAAATATTTTAGTGCATTATTACAAGCCACTTTAATCTTCAATTACTTACATAGCTTAGAGTCACATGCAAGGCTCACTTACATAACTTAGATTAAATATCACTTTTACGGTTT